TCCAGTACCGAGGGGAGAGCCTGAGGTACCGGGGGGGTTCTCCAGTACCGGTCGCATCTCCGCCGTCGCCGGCCCGCCCCTTCGCGGGAAGGCGGCGGCATGGACGTGACCAGTACCGGCACGGTGTGGCCGCCGCCCTTGGCCGCTTACCGGTTGCATAAGGGCCGGCACTCACCCCCCCGGTGTCCTCCCTCACCCCGCCTTTCCCCGATCTTTTCCAGATGCCGGCTACGAGTTCGACATTTGCTTCACCTCGGTACAAAAACGGGCCATCCGTACCCTCTGGACTGTCCTGGATGCTATCGATCAGATGTGGTTACCCGTTATCCGAACCTGGCGCCTGAACGAGAGGCACTACGGGGCTCTCACGGGTTTAAACAAGGCTGAGACGGCGGCAAAGCATGGCGAAGCCCAGGTGAAGATCTGGAGGCGCTCATATGACATCCCACCACCTCCCATGCAGCCTGATCACCCCTTCTACAGCACCATCTGCAAGGTAAGACCCACTGCTCTTTGTCCACCTTGCTGGGAGGCTCCTAAAAGCCCCCTTAGGTCCCTGCAGCATGGTCTGGCTTCCTCTATGAGGTCTCTTCTGTCTCTGTTGCAGTAGTCAGGACTGTCATGCATGGTGCTGGCTGCTGTTGGGCTGAGTTTGTCCTGTTCTCTCCCTGGGGAGTTGAACTCTTGGGCATTGCATGGGCAGATTCAAAGCAGAGGTGATGATACCTCTGTTAATCATTAGTTCCATGACCTGTGCATGGATGTTTGCTCTGGTCTCTTTATGCAGAGCAAGCAACATGCAGCTTTTCTCAGGAGGGGCTCAGAAACTCAAACCTTAAGGGTGCTTCCTTTGCTTCCAAGCCCGGCTTTGTCTACATGTAGCAAGTCCTCAGGTGGAGAATTTGGGGGAGGGACAAAGGCCTTGCTACTGCCTTCCCACACTGCTGGGGGCACTGGGCTGCTGTGTGAGCATGGCCATTCCCCCAGGACCGTCGCTACGCTGATCTGACGGAGGACCAGCTGCCCACGTGTGAGAGCTTGAAGGACACCATCGCCCGGGCTCTGCCTTTCTGGAACGAGGAAATCGTCCCGCAGATCAAAGAGGGCAAGCGAGTCCTTATTGCTGCCCATGGCAATAGCCTGCGTGGGATTGTCAAACACCTGGAAGGTACATCAGCCCTGTGGGGGTATCGTGGGGGTCTTCCACTGCCCTGGGTGGCACTCTGTGAGTGTGGCCATGAGTGACGGCACCTCTGTTTGCAGGCATGTCAGAAGAGGCCATCATGGAGCTGAACCTGCCCACTGGCATCCCTATTGTCTACGAGCTGGACAAGAATCTGAAACCTGTCAAGCCTATGCAGTTCCTGGGGGATGAGGAGACGGTGCGCAAGGCCATGGAGGCTGTCGCTGCTCAGGGCAAGGTCAAAAAGTGAGGGTGGACAGCAGGCTAGCACATAGTAGAGCCCCCCCCACTCCGTCCCCCACTCCTCTGTGCACAACCCCCACAGCTGTAGGAACTTGGAGCTGCAGAGCTGGAGCAGCTCCCCAGGATTAGGCCCGTTCCCTCGGGACCAGGCTCCCCTCTGCAGACAGCATGGGGGCCTGGGGGCAAGGGGCCCTGTGCGCAGAGGTCTGGTGTGAAAGGGAGCCCTGGCTCTGCCAGCCAGCGACCACACACCTCTCTGCCCCAAGATCCCAGCCCTTGGGCCTCATCTGCAGGGGAATGCGCCAAGCCATCCCTTGCCATGCCAGGCTCATCCTCTGCTTTGCTTCCCCAGCAGCTCTCATCACCTGGTTACTGTAGTTTTGTTGCTTGTTTAGTCCTCCCAGGAGCAGTGGGGCGAGTACAGTGCAGGCAGCGACCAAGATGGGTACCCCATCCCCTCATGGGTGTGTGGCACAAAGTCAGGGACGTGTAGACACTGAAAGGGTTGTATTTTGGTGCACATGGTACAGCACTCAAGGGTGGTACTTGTGACTCTGGACCTAGCTCTGCCAGCCCCTGCTTTAACTTATTGCCTTTGGACAAGGGTGAGGGAGGGAGCCTCTTGTCTGGAGGTTGGTGTCTGCCACATACTTCCCCAGCCAAAGCCCATCCTAGTCCTGCTGGTGAAGTAGGCACCGTTGTGCCCCATCCCACATATGTGTACGTGGCCCTGTCGCTGTGGCCTCCCCCACTGCTGGCGCCGCGAGCCTGGGCTTGCACAGGGTCAGTGTAACTGTTTGACAATAGCAGCTGTCTTGTTCCAGTTCAATAAAGAGTAATGCGCAATAACGAGGCATCGGTGCTTTCCTCTGCTGCCCCGTGCTCCCAGGCTGACTGCTGTGTGCAGCACCTCCCTCGGGCTCCTGCCACAAGTGTGCAAGGCAGCAGTGGCTGCTGGGTGCAGGCACAGGGGTGCAGAAGTCATCTGGGGCTCGGGGAACAAAGCACAGCTCCGCAATCCCCCCTGGAGAGGGTGACGCCCTGCCACTCGGTGGTTTACTGGCTCTGGGTGCAGCACACCCTTGTCCTGAGGCAGGCAAGGCATGTGTGGCCTGGGGAAATGTGGTGCCCTGGGGTTGAGCCACAGCCTGTACTGGTTATCGGTGCAGGGAGACCAGCTGTTCTCCATGCTTGATACCAATGTGGGGAACCAACCCAGCGAGGCGAGTGCCTGGAGCCAGCACCACCTGGCCACAAACCCGAGCTCTCTGCCGTTTGCCTCGCTGTGGCACAGCCGCTGGCTTGTTCCCCAGTG